CTGTTCGAACAGTTCCTCTGAGCGGAACTGAGCTGAGCTTGTCGACCCCTAATCATGCCATAAGATATGTTACTCAAGTCAGTTTGTAATATATAGGAAATATTTTCATCCATTCTTTCAATTCTTTATATCTTAATAAGTCTTTAGTTTGTAACGTTTAATAAAGGATGAAAGTATTTCTTATACATTACGAATCGACTTGAGTAACGTGTATATTTTCTAATAAAATGATATCTAGAGTTTTCTGATGTCTTATTTTATAGATAAACGTACCTTCTATTCAAGTCAACTCTAGATAACAGATTCAATTGAAATGATTTCGATTATTTTTCTCTAAATACATTCTTGAGAAAAATAAAATAATCGAAGAAACAAAAAAATAAATAAATAAAATTTACCTGTCATTCAATGCGGTGTTTTATTAATAGAATTTAGTTTAGAAATGTCATTTAATAAACCTAACTCTTTTGTATTCTCATTGTCAAGAAATGTTTTTTTTTTGAATAATATAGAAAAAATCTTTCTATTAATTTGTTAACATCATCTAGATATTCTAATAAAATATTTCGTTAACAAATGTCATAGATCATGATGATGAATAGAACTATTTATATTGAATAAAAATAAGTTAATATATAATGACAATGCAATAAAAATTACTTTATCTTGTCTTTCAAGTAACTTATCATTATGATTCTTCATTTTCTTATCTTGTCATAAAAACAAATGACGACGAAAACAACGCGACTGAGAATACTATATGAAGTTCTATGAAAATAATTAGCAGTATTTAACCAGTTAGTTTATTAATATTCTTATAAAATGTATATATAGTTCTTCTTCTTCTTTTTCGAATATTTTCAAGGTATGTTTTTTTTTTTTTTAATAAATAATTTCTTTTGCGAAAGTTTCATTTTTTTATGAAATAGATTAAAAATTTATAATAGTGACAATAGGTTAAAGTTTTTTAACGAAGAAAACAAAGCGCAAAGATCTCTGATTAAGATTAGCTGTGACAAAGATCATAACTTAATGATTCGCTACAATTGCATCATTTTAACAAATAAGTTTGTAAGAATTTGATTTTCGATAACATAAGTTGAGTTATAATTGATTAATTAATCTTTTCACAAATAAAATTAATTCAAAAAAAATATATATATCAGTCATATTGATATAGAAGCCTCCGTTTCTTCAGCGTAGTACGTCAGATCGATTTGAAACTTTATTTTTACATATATATTAGGCACACTTTTTGAAAATAGGATTTTTACTTTTGTTTTAAAAATATTATTTTCGGCTTCTTTATGCAAAAGACAAAAAAAAATAAAAGATTACCCGTATTCTAAATAGTGTCTAATATCTGTAAAACTAATTTTCAAATCGATGAGCTTGTTCTCGAGAAAAGGGAGAAGATATCATTAATATTGATATGATAATTAAGTAAATGTGAGTATTATTCATATGTGATTCAAACCGACAAAAATTCTTCATTTCTTTTGAAAATTTATTATAACTGACAGAATTGAGCCGACTTCCTCATACGTCTGTTAATGTTGAGCCGTCAGTACGAACCACAAAACCTGAATCGGCTTCAGTTCTACGATATATTTTTTGTATTATAGATGGCACTGCAAAAAATAAAGTTTATTAGTAAAATATATTTCGATAAGTTTTGATTTTGGTAGAAAAATACTCTTTGCACTCATTAACAGTTGAACTCAAAAGTCATAAGTGTTACCGCCGATTTTTACGAGTACGACAGTATACTGTTGGTACTACAAACAAATGTGTGACCTGAGTACTCAAATATGATTGTTGATGTTTATTTCTTATCTTTGATTTCGTCATATATGCTAGACGATAAATAAATTCATACGTCTTTTTTTTTGCATTGGTTCTTTTCTCATTTTACTAACATATACTTTGAGTTTGATTGAAATATTTTTAAGAAATTTATGAATAAGATTAGCATTTTCTTATTAAATAGTCGATATTTGTTGTTGTTTTTTTTTTGTAAAGTTTTTCTTTTAATCAATGTAAATATTTGATATGGAAACATTTTGAATATTGAATGAATGAAAGAAAAACTTAAAATATATTAAAACTATATATTTATTTGATATATTGAATCACTATCAATTGATTAGTTAGTCAATAAACGAAACAACTATTCACTTTTCTCAATAGTTTTATTGCGTCATAAAAAAAAAAAAAAAAAAAAAAAAGATAAGAAAAAAATTGTGAAGGGAGAACGATAAAAAAGTCTAAGTAAACTCAATTCTCTTATGACAAAGTTACTTATCTTCAGATACTATAAGACATAGATATTTTGAAAGGTTCCCACCTTGACAGTCCACTGAAAGTTCGATATCTCGGTCAAATTCCAATAAGAGCACGAACTCTTTGAATATTATTCTAGTCTTATTGATCCTTATATATGAGTATAATACAAAGTAGATCACCTGAGAACGTTTTCTCATGAGTACAATTGATTGAATTTTAGAAGCAGAAAGACATCAAATGAATATTCTGAATCGCTTATTTCGTTGTAGACATATGATATGTTCTTTGAGTTTTTATTACTCTTTGTCAAAGAAACTAAACTGTATAGTTTTTCATGTAAATCAAAGATTTGAAAACTATACTATGACTATATAAGTATCTATCGGATGTTGATTAACGTTCCGATTGGGTACTTGTAAGTTTTATTTAATTTGATTTTTGTTTTTATTAAAATTTCTAAATAAAAATATTTTGAAATATTCTAGATAAATTAATTATCATTTCATTTTTCAATTGATAAAAACATATATACAAATTCAAAAAAAAAAAACAGAATTAATAAGAAATAAAATGGATGAAAATATTCGACAAGTTCATGTTGGTATAATTGGATGTGGTTGTAGTGGTTTAGTTACATTAAAAGAATTATTAGAAGAAGGTCATCAATGTACTGTTTTTGAAAAATCTAATACAATTGGTGGTTTATATACACAAGCCTATCAACAAGGAATATTTGTATCAAGTCATTTATTAACTATGTTTAGTGATTTTATTGGAAATGATGAAAATATTCTTACACAACCAAGAATGTTATCATTTATTGAATATTCACAATATTTAAATGATTATGCTGAATATTTTCATTTAAAACCATATATTAAATTACAAACAGAAGTTAAATCATTATGGAAAGATTATTCAGAAAATAAATGGAAAATTCTTCTTAATAATAGTGAAGAAATTTATACATTTGATCGTATTGCTATTTGTTGTGGTGTTTATGGAAATATAAATATGCCAATATTTAAAAATCAAAATTTATTTCAAGGAAAAATTAAACATTTAAAACATATTCAATTTTATGAAGAATTTACTAATAAAAATATATGTATTGTTGGTAGTGGAGAATCAGCTAGTGATATGATATTAGCTGCTGCACAATATGGAAATAAAGCATTTCTATCTATAAGAAATGATCATGGATTTATTGTTCCAAGATATATTCATGGTGATCGATATGGACCAGCTGATTTAGATACATCACGTGTACATCATTCAATTCCACGTGCATGGGGAGTTTTACATACTTATATTGATATGATTAATAGTTTAATAAAATCATATTTAAAATGTTTAATTTATCAAAAAGGTAAATTAACTGATTATGATAAAATTCGAAGAGCTGGTATATATATGAATTTAAAACAAATAAAAACAAGTAATGTATGGACTACATTTGGAACAAAAAATTCTAATTTAGTTGAAGCTTTAGTTAAATATAATGATAAATGTTATAGAAAACCTGGTATAAAAGAATTAAAAACAAATTCAATTATATTTGATGATAATACAGAAGAATATGTTGATGAAATTATTTGTTGTACGGGATTTCAAAGTTCATTTCCATTTATAGAACAAAGTGAACAAGCTGATTTAAATTTAAAACGTATTGGAAATGAAGCTAAAATATCTCATAATTTATATAAACATTGTATACATCCAGATCTTGGTGATGAAGTATTTTGGATTGGATTTGCTCGACCAGCATTAGGTGCTATACCACCATTAATGGAACTTCAAGCACGTTGGTTTGCTTTATTATGTTCAAATAAATTAAAATTACCAACAAAATCTGATATGTTACAACAAATTTCAAAATATGTTAAATATTTAGAATGGCAATTAACACCATATCGTGTTAATCGTGTAACTAGTTTAACTGATTATTTAATATATTCAGATGATTTATCAAGAACAATTGGTTGTAGACCTAATTTTATTAGAATTTTTTTTACAGAACCAAAATTATGGTTAAAATTAATGTGTGGACCTTTATTAAATGCACATTATCGTTTATGTGGACCACATGCTAAACCAAAACAAGCAAAAAATATTATATTAAAAGCTAAATGGGTTAAACAACCAAATATTTTATATTTTTTTATGTTAATTTGTTATGCATTTTTTTGGTTTGTTTTTGGAATTGAATCATGTAAACCTGCTTCTTGGTATCCATTATAGAATATTTTATTTCGTTATGTTTATTTTGTTTTTTGTTTTTTTAATGAGAATGTTTTGTTTTTTTCTCAATTTAATAAATTATATTAATTAAATCTAAGTCTATTTAATAGTTCATATTAGAACTTCGTTCAAAAAAAAAAAAAATTCAAAAATTCTTAGACTTTAAATCGAAAGACATTCAAGAATAGATGCATTCACTACATGAAAATGAAAAATCTTGTCTAAAATTGTTTGCACTTTTATTTGAAGTTGCCTTTGCTATGATATCAAACAATTATTCATCATCGTTATTTTTTGAAAATTCTCTTGTCAAATAGAATAAATTATTTATTTATTCAATATAGCATTTCTACCCTTTAATATTTGTTTTTTTTTGCAACAGATACGACAATCAACGATTGTGCTTTTCTTTTTTTTTTTTTTTTAAATTTCATTTGACTAACGCTTCGTAATGTTGTACCTTATCCTTATCATATGCAACGTCATATTTACAAAAGCGTTTATATACATCTATAGTTTTCATTTTTTTTTCTTTGATTCTATTTGCATGTCAACGTAAACAAAATTGATCTTCATTTTTTTTATAAGGGTAAGAGATTTTTTAGCAAGAGCATAAGATTTAAATTTAAAGTTATCATACAGCAACCATTTTTGAGAAAAGTTTAGTTAAAATTGATAAATAAATATATTTTATTTTTTATATCTTGTTAAAGAATATAGAAAAAGTATTTGCTGAATTAAGAACAAAAATTATTCTTTCATTATAAAATAAGTTTTTTGTATTTATTATAATATGACCTCCGTCTTGGTAAACAACAAAGCTCCTGTAAATTCCGAGTGAAAAAAAAAAGCGTATAGTAAACTTGTCAGTCATCTTATAATCAACTTATTTTATAATTTTTTTCCAAATATCATAACTCCTGATGATGTTTTGAAGTCAAATTATGCTAGAGTATCAAATGGATTAAACCATGAAAAAAATTTCATTTGAATAGTTATTCTAAGAATTTCATGAGTATGTTCAAGGAGATACAGCATGCATGTCTTACTCCACTTGTTGATTGTGAATCTTTAATTTTCATATTCTAGAAACATATTTAGAATCATTGAATCATCTAGGTATGATTGTAAGTAGAGTTAGATGAAACCTAGCTGAGTTATTTCCTTTGAAAGTTCTTACAAGAGAGAAAAATTTCATCGTTATTGTCAGCGACTTCTTCATCTTGATACATTAATCTTTATACTGATTTATTTAATATAGTAGAAAGTAATTTTTTTCAATATTTTATTTCATTTGAAGATTTCAATATTGAATCAACGGAAACTGTCAAAGTAATAGAAATCATTTATAAATATCAATGACAAGTAAATATATTAATAGAGACAATATTTCGAAATGTTATATTTACTTTGTGATTTTTTTTTTCAGAGAATCAATTCTATATTTTCTTATCATGTGCTACAACAGTGACAAGTTTTATAATTCTTCGATATTATTTTCAAGAAAGAAAAAAGAAAAAACAAAATGAAGAACAAGTATATTAAATCATTTGTTTATTTAAATAATTTTTTTATTATTATTGTTCATATAGAAAAAAGAATATTTAAAATGTAGATCATTATTTGATATTGAACAATTAGCTAAAAAATTGATGAAAACACATCGATTTTATTATTATGATTATAAAGCTGGTCAAGGATATACATATCAAGCATCAAGAGATTATTTCGATAAACAATTACAAATTCTTCCACGAGTATTAATTGATGTTACACAAATTTCATTAAAAACAAATATATTTGGGTAAGAATCTATTTCAATTATATGAAATAGATTAGAAATAAATTTATTTTAGATCGACATATGAATCACCAATAATAATAGCTCCATCAACATTTCATTGTCTTGCTCATATCGATGGTGAAGTTGCAACAGCTCGTGGTGCAACTGAAGCTGAATGTATTTATACTTATAATTGGATGTATTCAACTATGCCAGAAGAAAAAGTTTTACAAACAACAGGTTTCATATTTACTCAGTTTTATTCTAAATAAATATTATTTTTATATTTCGAATAAATATAGGTCCAAAATTTTTACATGTTTATTTAACAACACCAATTGAAATTCTAGAAAGAATTGTTTCACAAGCTGAAAATAAAGGATATCGATCAATTGTTGTTACATGTGATCATCCAACAGATCGTGTTCGAGATAATGTTTTACCATTATTTGAAGAAGCATCAAAAACTATTGATCCAGAATTAATGAAAAGTATGCCTATGGCTAATATGAATGTATCTAATATAATTGTTAAACAAAATTTAAAAACTGGTTCAATAACATGGACAAATATTGAATCATTAAAAAGATTAACTAAATTACCAATTATATGTAAAGGTATACTTTCAACAATTGATGCAGAATTAGCAATTAAACATGGAGCAGATGGAATTCTTGTTAGGTCTATTATCTTAATAAATAGTTTATTAAACATATTTTTATCTTGTTTTTTTTTTAGTAATCATGGTGGACGACAAGTTGATACAGCACCTCCAGCTATTCAATGTTTACAAGATATTGTTAATGTTGTTAATGGACGTGCACAAAGTAAATTTTTATTCATAAATATATATATATATATTTATGATCTTAGAGTTTATCATTGAAAATTTCGGATGGATTTTTCAGATACTTTTTCGCGATATTAAAAAGTCTTAAAAAGAATAGCGTCTTTTTTTTTTGTATCTTAAAACTTTTCGATTAAGTTAACATGACGCAAGTGTTTTGTCAATGTTCATACGTGTATATTCGGTTGAGTGTATTGTTGCAATCTATTCTGAGAGTTCGACATATTGATATAGCGGCATAGTTTTTGTATACAGAATAGAAATTATCTGACAATTTTTAGGAAATAAATTAATAGAAAACTAAGCAAAAACATGTATTCGAAAAGGTTGAGAAATGCTATAGCAAACAAACCGATTGTGTTAATTATTAGAAAAAGAAAAAAAAATTAATATATTCACATAGATAGGTGTCTTTTATATTGTTAATTTTAAAAGATAAAAATAAATTCCTTTGTTTATCGTATTTTTTTATCTAGAAGAATGCTTCTATTGAATTTAGGAAATGAAACTGAACAATTTATCATTTATAAATGATAAATTGTTCAATGGTGAATTATTATAATGAGTAATTCATCAAAAAAAATAAATAGAAAAATAAGTAGATATATTATTAAAACACATTGTTATTATATTTCATTTAATTCGATTGGTTTTTCTTATTGGATTAGTTCAATCTATTATTGTATATTTTATCAGTGTGTCTGAAAGAAATCACTCAATTCATGTTATCATGTCTTACTGACTTCATGAGTGTTTTTTAATTAGGATGATGCTATTCAATTTTTTATATTATTCAAATATGTTCTAATTTATTTTTTAGTATTTGTTGATACGGGTATTCGAACAGGAACTGATGTATTAAAAGCACTAGCATTAGGTGCACAAGCTGTTTTTATTGGTCGACCAGCTTTATATGGATTAGCTTGTGGTGGACATGATGGAGTTAAAACAGTATTAAATATATTAAAACGTGAATTAACTTATGATATGGCTTCTTGTGGAATAACATCAATTGATCAAATTAATAAAGATATTCTTTATAAGCATACATAAAAATTTTCATGTTAAATATAACTGTATAAACTCGACAGTGTTTATCTGTCTACAAGATGTTTCAATTTTGTTAAATAATTTTCTTGAGAGGACTTCAATTGTGTATTGTTTAATTTAAAAAGTTGAAATAGTTCAATTTATACATCCGAATTAGAACTTATAAAAATAAAGATTTATGATTGAAAGATTTCAAGTTGAACAAAGGATATGAGTGTAGGTAGATGTTGGTGTACAGAACCCCTACAATCACGTTCTAAATTAAAAAAAATGCAAGTAAAATGTTGATTAGTAGAAATGTTCATATGAAACTAGTTAATTCATAATAGAATGGAAGGACATTATTCAAAATTTGATTTTCGAAATTTTAACTATTCGAAGACTAATTCTATTCGAAATTTTGTATTTCAAGATTTTATTTTTCTGAGCTTTTACAGTAATTCATCTAATCAACATTGTGGGTATGGGTGCAAAGAAGAGGAGAACCCATGTTTATACTTACATCTCATACGCCCACACCCTCTGAAAGAGTTTGTTAGTCTATCATCTTCATAGGAATAAATTAAATAAATAATTGAAACTAATATCAAAACTTATAATGCTAAGTTAGAAATATAATGAATCTAAGAAATCAGAAACATGACTGCTTTTAGGAGAGTCAGACGAAAATAACTTTTTGGCATGTCCTACGCATTTTTCGAATCAATTTGTAATTCTGAGTAATATTAAAGTTTAATTTTAAAATACAAATATATTATGTAAGAGAAGGGCTTCTTATTGATACAATGAGTTGACTCAGTTGGGTACGCTTCTAAGCTTATTGAATATTGATACACAAATGTGATTGGAGCTTGTGTTAACAATTAATCTGAATAGTACAATCAATACATATTTATCTCTTCAAAAACTTATTCTGCGTCAAATAGATTGTCCTCTAGAGGGTGATACTTTAATAGTATGAATGAAACTAATTTTCTTTTGACTATTTCTCAAATTCATTAGTAATATGCGTAAATTAGAAACTATGGCAACTGAATTTACAAATCTATATCGACTGTTCGATTTTGCACTTTGAGAAGAATTTACTGATATTGGAAAGAAAAATTATGAATGTGCCAATTCAACTATGTATAGAGAAAATTTTATTGTATTCCAAATCTATTTGTTATCTAATCATTCTTAAATGTTAAATAAAATAATCTAGAAATTATTCTTGTCTAGGACTAGGTCTTTTTCTTTTTTTTTCAACTTATGTCTGTTAGAAGTATTCAGGAGTTTTTTGAATCGGATGGGGTCGACGAATGATCCCCTAATCTTAGAAAATTTTTGTTTTTCTTCAACAAAGTTCAACAATTGTCTTCATTTCTTTTTAGCTCACCAATCTCTGCAACAAGAGTCGACTTTCATCCACAAAGCCTGGTGACCTCAGGACACCCCAGCTATTTCTTAGTATACAATCTTTTTTTTATACCGAAATATTGAATACCTTATTAATGGTTTGTTGCATAGCAATACAAGTTTGTCGATATATCTGAGAATTATTTTTAGCAATTGATAAACAAGAAAGTTCGACTTCAAAAAGAGTACATGGCTTCGAATATTATATGACTCATGTTTTCGATTCTGATCAAATTGTGACACAATTACGAATAGTTATGAAGAAAAAACGTAGTTGCCTGCAAAAAAAATCACGACGCAATTACACATGATTTATGATTTTTTTCGCAACTATACGTATTTACGATCTTTTTTCGTAATTGCACGTAATTGTGTTGCAGTTGTTAAAAAAAACAAAGATCACATGGAGATTATAGATTATGGTGATAATAAAGTTTGAAAAGATTCATATAGAAAATGAATCTTTTATGATTTATTCTAGTATGATTTTATATGGAAAGCATCCTTTAATAATAATGGAACTTTTAATAAAAATAAATTTATTCAATTTAAAAATAGAATAAATAACACATGTGATTTTGATGGTAATTCAAGAAAAACAATCAATGATTATTTAGGAAAGAGTAAAAACAATTTACTCCTTTTCAGAAAACAAATATAACATGTTGGGTGAGGTACACGTTTTCTTTTAACAGACTTCCAAAGTTACTGCTACATACACAAAAATCGCTGTTCCGGATGGCTCAGTGGCAGCGATGACATGTGTTGATCGGTTCTGTCACTGTTATTTTTTCTCCGCATGAGACGCAAGTTACAGCACAGTCTTAGACTAAAACGTAACTTTAAGTGTTGCCATACGGTCCCTTACAAAAACGGTAACAGTTTAATAGTAAATAGCTGACACAGTGGTTGGAGAGAAAGGAGGAAAGAAAAAGAGTAACAGTGATTTTATTGATTCTGTGTGTACAGCATTTTTGTTTTTTCGTTTGCCATAACACAAATCAAATTTCTACTGCCTTCATACACTTGTAAAAGCTAAATATTTCAGTCTGTTACAACATACGAAAATCATGCTTTTTTCCTCGGCTGACGAGAGTAGCACACGTTTGACGGATGTTCGATTCGAACCTGGCAAATTCTTATCTCCAATTGAAGGCTACGAGAAGGTACCACTGGTCTCACTTGAACAAGCTATTCAGCCTCTTGTTTCTATTGTTCCTGATATTGAGCGTAGAGCTTTCGTTGCTCTTCAGCGTTGTCAAAATCCAGCTGACAAGCTAACCACAGATCAATCTGCAGCTATCTTTCTCTATACAATGGAGTGGTCCAATTGTGTCTATTTCATTCTCAACGAAGCTTTAACAAAGGAAGATCGAAATCAACTCGTCCCATGGTTTTCTTACCTAAAACTTCTACTAACAGCTCTCTTTAAACTACCATCCAGTAAAAGTACGGTATTTCGTGGCGTTAAAGGTCTTGATTTAACTACTAAATATCCGAAAAATAAAAACACAGTTTGGTGGAGATTTAGTTCGTCAACAACAACGGTCGAAGTTCTAAATTCGGAAAAATTTCTAGGGCAACACGGATTACGTACCATGTTCAGTATCGAATGCCTTAATGGTAAAGTGATTAAAAATCATTCCAATTATGAACAAGAGAACGAAGTTCTTTTACTTCCTGGTACACAATTCGAAGTAATCAGTCATTTGGATGCAGGCAATGGTCTACAGATTATACAGATGAAAGAGTTGGAGAATCCACGATATCTCATGCTAGAACCACCATTTCCAATTGTTAGATCCCAGTGCGTAGCAAGTTCAACTTCTGTTGCATCTTCATCAGCAGTTCTTTCGGCTTCTGATGCAAGTGTTGCTAAACCTGCTGCTGCTGCTGCAGCTCAGTCATCTCAAAATAGTGATGATTCAAGGCCGCACTATTCGCCATTTGCTTCATCATTAAAAGACATTGATCCGGATGAAACAGCATACGAAATCAGAACTCGATGGGAACAATTGCAAAAAGGTAATATTTGGGGAGCATTTAAATGGGCAAACTAAACTTTGCGTTAAACATTTTAAATGTGATACAAGTTTTTTTCTTATTTTGTGAGAAATGATTTTTACAATTAAACAAGAAATAACACCCAGACAGCTTTAGATTGCGATCGAAGAGATGTTCAGACATCTCTGCATTCTTTTCACTTGTAAGCTATTTATATAAGCAAACGAAACTATTCTTTTTTTCCTCTGTAACGTATGTACTTGAAGTAGTGGCATTGGTTATTTATGTCCCCATTATTTTTCTAAGTTATATCAATCAGTTCTTCTTATAGATCATAAAACTACTAACAGTACCAATAAATACAAAAGAGACATATAGTGAACGTGCGTAGTTTAGTTTTATGTGAGTAGAAATGAAGCCATCATATAATGTCTTTGGAGTCGAGCGTAATCCATTCATCATCGGGTATGTTGGGTACTATCAATACAGCTTAATCGATACTTCAGTAAATGTTTATGAAAGTCATCAAAAAATCATTTCCAACAATATTCAATAATCAAATCAAGGGTAGAGTGTGGATGTGAACCAATGTTGTAACCGCCAACGGTAAACGACCGGTCTGATCGAAAACTCCTTACCAGCCGGTAAACAGAACTTTTTTCTTACTAATCTGTGTAGATTTTTTTGAATTTTTACATGTTTCTTTTTCAAACAATTCAAAATCGAGGTTGCTTTGATTCATCAAGTTGATTTTACTAATATCAATGAGTATTTCAATTAGATGACTATTTATCAACATAGGCCAGATATTTTCAATAAGTCACTGCGATAGCAAGTTATCTTATTTAGACAAAATCAAATCGCTATTCTCCATTGCCATTCATAACATACATGTTTTTATTTTGTATTATCTATCCTATGTATGAGTGGGTGTGGGTGTGAATGAAGATCAGATAAAAAATCACATCCCCATCCCCATCCTGAAGTCAAACGGCACTCTGCATGTTGTATGGTAATATCTAATTACTTGACTTTCAGATGTTTATATCAATATATTTTGTATGAACACATATTTTTAGAGAATCCTCTTTTTTCTGGAGTAGAATTTGACACATTATATTTTGATTATTTAACTTCAATATTCATACAATAATGCATCACATGACTACTCGTCTTTGGAAAAATTCAGAGGAAATATTTTACCAGAGATCAACTCACACCGTAAACGTCATATTCAAATGGACAAACTTATCCTCTACCTCATGTGTGCACCCATATGTTCAGGATGGATGAAATGCAACAAGTAATCATATTTAGTTGATACACGTATACGAACGATGATAGAGAATAACAGAAAAAAGGGTAATCAACCGTGATTCATAGGTTTTTCTTCTATTGTACAGGCACGTGTAGATGTTCAATTGAGTTAGTGTAAAATATTGACATGGGAAAATCGTATTAGTAGGACCTCGATGATTGAAACCCATTGCAAAAACTTTGAACGATTCAACGGTTCAGTAGTTTCTTGAGAAGAGTATGGGTGAAAAATGGCTAAATACCGAGACACATTTTTCATTGCATGCCTATGTCTTCGTAATGTTTGTCGATGTGTGAACACAAATAAGAATATGAGTACTTTGCATCATTATAGAAAGTAACAAGAGAGAAAAGAATAGTCAAATAATGTTTTGACTTTCTTTTGGTGTTATTGCAGCATTTATCATTGTTATAGTGGTGTTTTGAAAGCAGAACAAGTAAAAGACGTACTTTGCCCTTTATCAAAAACGAAAATAGAGCCTGAATTCTCTATAATGGTCTTTCATATACTGCTAGTAATATTCCTCATTACTATTTTATTAATCGTCGCTGTTGTCTATTGGAAATTGATTCATCCAGAAAAGCGTTTGTATGATGAACTGCGCAGGGAAGGTGTACCAGGCGAAGCATTTGTGCCGATTATCGGTCAACTACCAGACTTTCGTCGTGCTCGAGAAAACCGTGATGTTCTGGCAAATTTAAACAATCTTAGTGAAAAATATGGACATCATTTTTGTTTTCTTTTGGTTCTTTAATACGTATTATCATGGCCGAACCGGATACGATTGCTGATATTGTTGGTCGACCATACGCTCACGACTATGTCAAGCCAGATGTATTTGTTAATGTTTTCAAACCATTAATTGGTTCACACAATTTACTAGTTAGTGAAGGACATGAACATAAAAGAGCAAGACAAATGCTCAATGCAGCTTTTCATTTTGTCAACTTGAGATCAATGGTTTCTATCATGACTAATGAAACAGCCAAAGCTATTGACAGATATTTTTCTATATCACAATCAAAATATATTGATTTACACATGGAAATGAGTAATCTGACCTTATCAATTATTATGTCGAGTGCATTCGGTAAATATTCTTCAACAGTAGGAGATTTTCATCAAACCATGTATCAGACAATTAACGTAGTTTTTGACGCAATACGATATCGATTGATGTATACCATTACCCAAATTCCGTTTTTGTCGCGTCTACCTCTCTGACACAAAACGGCCATCGATAATGGTATTCTACGGATAACTTGTTCAGTTTTAACAAGTCATTACTGACCGACGACAAGGTCGATCTATTAGCCTATGTGCTGGTTCGGATCTTCTTGATCTCTTGCTATCAGCTGTAGATAGCGATGGACACTCATTTACAGATGAAGAAATCAAAGATCAACCTTTAACCTTCGTTTTGGCCGGTCATGAAACAACCAGTAATCTTATGGCATGGGTCATGTATGTTTTGATGACAAATGAATCTGTTTTTCGTGCATGTCGCGAAGAAGTGGACAAAATGTTACCGAGTGGCACGGATCCTACTTATGAACTTGCTTGTAATCTAGTCGTGCGCGAAGCGATCTTACAAGAAACTCTTTGTCTCTATTCACCGGCACCTCTATTTGTACGAAAATGCATACGTGAACATATCATAAGAAAAGAAGGACAGCGGCAGCTGCACATTCCTGCTGGTACTACAATAGTCATCAATAGCCATGCACTTCATCGACGAGTGGCTTACTGGTCTAGACCACTTGAATTTGACTATACGCGTTGGATGCGTGATCCGATAACAGATTTGAAACCGAAATTATCTCATCGTTTCTGCTATTTACCATTCGCTGCCGGACCACACAATTGTATTGGACAACGTTTTGCAATGCTTGAAGCTAAATTAATGTTGGCTATGCTTGTAGAACAATGTGATTTTATATTTGAACCAGGACAGAAAATTGTACCAGAATTTATCATTACTATGAGACCGAAATACGGTCTTCGTACTCGGGTCAGTAAGAGACTATGAAACAATTGTATTATTAACTAACTACCAATGTGTGATCGTATTATTGAAAAGAAGACTTTTTTTTTCGTATGAAAATTCCGGTAGACTATTTTCTTTATGAGCTGGGTGTTGGTGGTGGGTGTGGGTATGGATGATGAGAAGATTCGCATCCATCCACGTTCACACTACACCCATACTCCAAAACTATTCAAACACGAGTAAAAATGTAGAGTACTCGACGCGCTATCTAACTGTAGATGAAACAATTGTTTTTCGTGCTATGAAAGCTAAAACACTGGTGACTCTTTTGAGAATCATGCTAAACAAATTTTATTTCTATTTTCACATTAATTTAATGCATATGTATTTTCAAAATAATTTCTCTTCAACAAGACATATCGAACTGAAAACTCTATGGCGAATGTATCTCATTTATGCCTACTAGTGTGCATTCTATTCCTTTGAGAATCAATCTGATATGACGATTATGTCTAATCTATAAGGTAGAAAAATTGAAAGAACTCTGATGATTTTTTTCTAATCTTACTTAGGAATACTGTTGTTGGATGTGAATGTGGGTGTGTCGGTGTAGGTGAAAAGAAGACAGTCACCAGCTCGTACCCAAACTTTTGCACGGTTAATGTACTGTGCTTTTTCCCCATTACATAGAAACGAAAGAAAAAGAAACAATCTTTTTTGCCTGCAGCTACGTAATATAATATGTTCGATAAAGCTTTGTAAGATTGTTCATAGTAGATAGGCTAGGTAAGAAAGATTTCGTGTAAATCAAGTGAAACACATAGGTTTTCATGTTTGATTCAAAGAATATCGTAATTGAAAGCTTGTATGTTATTCTTATTGGAGCGACAAATGCTCTTCGCGAGTACAAATCGATTAAATTAGGAACAGTTTTTCATTTCTGAACTCGACTATCATCAATATGTTGGGAATAATTCCGAGTTTTGACGAACAACTTTTTTGTCCAGTATAAAGTTAGGAGGAAGTTTAGCACACTTATTTTTTAGATTTATTATTGAGGATAATTTTGACTGCTCATGCATCCTCCAGGCAAGATATATAGGTTTTTCAATCACTATAACTCGTTGGACAAATCGTCAAAATATGATTGATTTGGGCAGAAAGAAAAAATGAAAAAAACATAACGTCATCCAAGAGTATTATACGATTTATTCTTTTGTTGCAAAAAAACGATTGCTTGCTATATTTAGATGTGAAAAAATTTCGTTACTTGACAAAATGTTCTATAATGAGTGAATGTTTCTCCCATTATTTTGTCATTAACAAATATATTTTCATCGACAAATCCATTTCTGTACATCTTTTAATTCATTAGTTGCTATCAATTTCTAATTTCATTGTTCTTTCTTCGCAAATACTAATATAAATAGAATCCTTCAGCATTTTTCATTTTCGACTGCTCAATGAAACTTTCGTGTGAAGATGGGAGACTGCCAATTTCATCCTTCTTATCAGATTATGAATCAAATTGATAATAAAAACTACAAAAATTCAGACCCTGATTGGAGCTAAAGAAGAAAAGAAGTACATCTGTGGGAGTGATTCTTTTGATCGCGATCCTGATCTCATTTTTCAAAAAAAAAATTCGCTCGAATCCCATAGACACTAAACATTTTTTTCTACTATTGAGTTCTTCCACATGTAAGCAATAGATAGGAAACTGTCATAGTCGACATTCATTCAACGCAGCAGTCAGATGAGCCACAAGTGTATGTGTTCGTTTTTATTCAATCAATACTACTCGAATATATTTTGGCACATAGATTTCTTAGTCATGTTAGAGACAAAAATTGTAATTCATCGTTGTAGAAACCAGGATGAATTCTATCGATTTTTCTTTGTGTGATTCTTCGTGATAATATACGTACAATCTAAGAGTTATCGAAAATAATGCAAATTTGTAATCTAACTTTTTATTTTGTTAAAAGAAAATTTCTCGAACTTTTGAAAAGCAAATGTGAAACAGTGGAAACTTTAAATGTAAACATATCTATTTAAATGAATTAATTTTTTTCTAACGAAAACAAAAAGTTCGACTGGAATGATCTTCTCAACTGTGTCTAGTTTCGAACAAAAAAAATGAGCAAGTGGCGAAGGGTTTATTGAGTATATACTTTTTTTTCTTTCTCTTCGAAGGTCACAGGTCTCGCTATTCGCTAACACGTAGAAAAAAAACTCGCTTGCAGACAGTAATGTGTGTGCGCAAATTCTTTATAAAGAAAAATTTACACAGCTGAATGTCGTATCGCTGGGATCCCGAAAGATGCGCACGACGAAACTTGCGCACGGCGATTGTGAGGGTGCTGGTTAAGGTTGTGAAGTCCGATTGAGGGTGCGGATGTGAGTGAGGGTGACAGTGGAAGTAAGGGTGAGGGTAGTAAGTTTGAAACAGTTCGTTATGTTCCTAAACCCTCATTTTTCGTTCCGTGCGCAAGTTTCGTCGTGCGCATCTTTCGTATACCCTTTTATCAGACCTAGCAATGTCGACACTTCTGCACAGGCCTTTTGTGAATGATATGATCACCATATTTTTTAAATAGGTAGTAGACAAAGTTGAAATAAATAGATATCCAATATATAAGACCTTAGTGTTGTAGCATACATGCGAAAAAGTATCAGAAACATATACACTTTCGAGTATGATCTCGATACGCACGGTCAATACATGTTGACCTGCATAATCAGTATAACTTTTTCATATGTTTTATGAATAGAAAAGATTGATATTAATAGTAACATGTGGGTGTGGGTGTAGGTGTAGGTGAAAAGAAGACGCTCACCCACACCATTATCTTCGTCTTACTTTTTCGCTCTCTTCCTTCTCTTTATTCCTTTCTTACTTCAAGAAATTTTTAAACATTTGCACTTTATAAAACAAGAACAAGAACAATATCAACAGCAACAAGAAGAACGGAAACCAGAAAACCACTCAAAAGATGAGAGTCTGGACTTGGAAGGATTTACTTTTGAAAACAGAAGTTCACCAACGTTGGACTTAACAGGCTTTGGATTAGCTGAGCAGGATATGCAGAATTTAGTTAATCCATTACAAAACAACAGGGTGAGAGTATAAAGTTTTTTTTGGCGAGACTTAGAAAATAGAATTGTAGAGATTTACATGGTCTACTATTTTTCATTTCTTTTCCGATACCTATTACGACGTACTTGGATATTGTGCCATTTGATAGATGAGATCTAACTCTAATACAAAAGTGTATGCAAGTAAGGCTCATATTTTGAATGACAAACATACAGTTAGATGAATTGATAGTTTCTATTATGAGCTACATGATATCAAAAACAATGCATAAGATAGCGAAATAAAGTAATGAACAAGTATATCACTTTTTCATTTGAATATTGAACATAGATTAAGGAGAAAAAAGTATGGACACTAGCTAAGATCAGATTCTTATCCTCAAGCCTCAAAATTTGACACTATCTTCGAGACATATAACTCATCTAAGATGGTGAAGCTAGACTTAAAATCCGAAATCCAGTATTCAAGGGTTGCCTCAAAATGTGAGAGATCGAGAGATGAAAAACTTATCACACAGAAAATCCATATGAATGCTGTGTAAAGTATGTAAATCTGATTTAGTCACATGGATATAGCCACTTCCATAATATAGCGCAGTCCACTATCACTATTTTCTTCATCTCCTAATACAAATACCTATTACCTATTCGCCTTTCCCATTCCTATCTTCTAGTTTGCACCCAGACACTAACCACACTCAATCTTCCAGGCAGTCCAATCGGTGATAAAGGAACTCACGTTTTAGCTGATCCTTTAATAAATAATACGGTGAAATTATTACTCTTTTCAACTCTCACATTTTCATCAACTTTTCTTCACACAGACACTCATCAATGTTGACCTCCACGTCACTGGTATTAGAGACGAAGCACTTCGACATGTGGCTGATGCTTTACGAACGAACACAGTTAAACTCCTTTTCTTTAGATCTCTTTCGTTTCAATCATTGTTTGTTTTTGTTACAGACACTGACAGAACTGAAACTCGGAAATAATGATATAAAAGAGGAAGCAACCCAATATTTGGCTGATGCTTTACGAAACAACAAGGTGAACTTCTTCTATTCATCCCTTTGATTTCCCATCTTGACTCTTTCATATAGGGACTCACAGTACTCTCCATTAAATCCAATGAAATCGGAGACACAGGAGCTAAATATTTGACTGATGCTTTGCGAAATACCAACGTGAGCTTCTTACTTTCTTCATTTCTCTTATTTTTATCCTCACTTTTTCCACATAGGCACTTACCACACTCCAACTTTATAGTAATAACATTGGAAACAAAGGAGACCAATATTTGTCTGATGCTTTAAAAACTAATACGGTGTACATCTTACTTTCTTCATTTATCTTATTTCTATTTTCATTTTTTTCACATAGACACTCAGCACACTTCATATTCCTAGCAATGAAATTGAAGACAAAGGAGTCCAATATCTGACTGATGCTTTACACAATAACACGGTGAGCTTTTTTTCCTATTCATCTCTTTTATGTTGATCTACACTTCGTTATACAGACATTAACCGTACTCAACCTCAATTTTAATGAAATTGGAGATGTGGGGGTTCAATACCTAGCTGATACTGTAAACAATAACATGATGAACTCTCACTCTCTATTCACCACTCTCATGTACATCTTCTCTTATTCAAACAGACACTCACTTCACTTAGCTTTATAGAAAATAAATTCGGAGAAGAAAGTGCCCGAAGGTTGGCTAATGCTCCACAAAATAACAAGGAGATCTTCTTGTTTCTCTTTATCTTATTTTTATTTCTATTCATATAGGCACTCACTACACTCGACATACGGTACAATCATATTGGAGCCGAAGGAGCTTCATATCTGGCTAATGCTTTACAAAAAAACATAGTAATCTTATTTTGTTTTGATTTCATCTCTGTTATTTTCATATGCAATACTTTGTTCAGACACTCACTAAACTTGAGATGGAGATGAATGAAATTGGAGAGAAAGGATATCAATATTTGACTAATGGTTTAGAAGATAACTCTGTTCGCTTCTTTTTCTATTTATCTATTTCATTTCTATATTTACTTCTTCATACAGACACTAGCCATACTCCATCTCGATTGCAATAACATTGGAGACGAAGGAATTCAATACCTGGTTCATGCGTTACGAAATAACATGATGAACTTCTTTTTTCTTTATTTTTCTGATTTGCATCTTCATTTTTTCACATAGGGACTTAGAGAACTCAAACTTTAGGCCAATATAATTGAAGAGAAAGGAGCCCAACATCTGGTTGATGCTTTACGAAAGAACACGATGAATTTCTTTCTCTATTTGTCTCTATCATTCCCCATCTTGACATTTTCATACAGGTGCTTCGAGAATTCAACCTTTTTGAAAATGAAATCGGAGGTAAAGGAGCCGAATATTTGGCTGATGCTTTACAAAATAATACAGTACGTTACTTTTTGTACTCATCTATATCATCTTCATCGTTTTTTTTCACATAGACACTCATCACACTCAACGTCGAATTTAACTGTATCGGTAAACAAGTTCTAAGACGTGCAATGAAAACTTTTATGAAAAATACTGGACTGAAAGTACAGATTGCTCACACATGATTGAAAAGATGAATATTCAGTGACATTGAAAACATTAATTTTCAATATATATTGTTTACTAGATGGTAATCATTAATATATTGATTTGCACACTCATTTTTAGGAGAAATAGTAGAGAACATAATGTTCTTAGAAAAATACTCACAAACAGATTGTAATTTGATATTTTCGATATAAAAATATTCTTCAAACAGTTCTTATATTGTCTTCAGTCTGTTGTCCAGAAGTTCACCAGCTGAAACTTTTAAATTTGTGCTGACTCTCAACTTCATCTTCTCTGAATAATTGCTCGTATAATCTTATCTTTCTACCATGAAAGTGCTTTACAATGTTTCATGTCTATTCAATAGAAGTTCATCAGTAAAACGTTCAAATTTAGTTTGAAATCTGTTGATATTATATACGCAATAAAAACTGAAAAAACTTCATTCAATTATGAAGTACAAGGAATAAGAAGAACACTACATTAAATCTCTTCTACTTCCATTACACTTTAGTGTCCTTCTATAAGTCTATCTCTCTTCTACCTATACGGAAGAAAGTCATGAACAGGTATTTTGCTTTTCTTGAGATAGAATCAAAGTACTGTAAACATTCTTATCAGATATTATAAAAAATCCCACACGTGTTCTTGTCAAATTAAACGGCAACATTTTTATAGCGAATATATATAATAATTGAATTCAATTTTGGATCAATGAAGCCATTTTTTTGGAATGACTATCGTTAAGCTAATTGTTTAAAGAAATCAAACAATGTGATATGTGAATTTTCAAAATAATTTACAACATTAGATTAAGTTAATGTTTAACTTACTTTGAATCTGTTAATGTCAAAAACTGTATTTCACCTTTTTTGTAATAAAATAATTATACTTGAAATTTGAGAGTTTTTGTAGAATCAGTGAGTTCATAGTCATAAATGGTACTATCTGAGTCATTCGAGTTCAATTTTGCAGATAAATAGCTGTAATGATCAAATCTAATATAAACTATATATTCGTGACCAGTTTGTTATGCTCTATCAAATCATACTTAAGTGAACGAAAGAAAACATTATACAGCATATAACAAAACTATAGCTCCCCCCCACCCCCAATCAAATTTTGAAAACAACAAGAATTTCCCTAATTAAAGAAGGTTTCATTTCCAATCTAAAGTCATACCTATGGACACATAGTAACAGTCTATCATCTGCGATACTGGGTATGGGTGTAGATATATCTCAACCCATACCCACACTCAACTATGTATAAATTGATTAGATAAATTGAACAAAGAAACAGATACATATAATCGATCTATACTTGTAGTAAAACAGTTGGTACATACAATGCATTCACACTATGAAATGAGAAAAACAAGATTTGCGACAATTCGCATGAATAAAGATAATTCTGACAAGACTCTTTTTGCAAAAGATTCGATTCTTTTTTTTAATGTCTTTTCAAACATTATTACAAACAGAAGAAGTTCAACCAATTTCATATACTTGAATAATAAAGATTATTCATGCTTTAGTGATTGAAAATTTCACATTGTCACAAATACAATAGTCTTCATCAATAGATGAACTGCTGTTTGACTTCTCAATAAATGTAATAAACATTCGAACACTACGAACATCCAAAGGAACTATGTTTGACATTTCAATAGATTCCATTTCAGTTCCAGAAACAGATCCTAAAAATGCGAAACAAAATTTAAACAAAAATACGAGAGATTTGTCACCTGAAGAAACGACTGGATATCGTAAACCATTAAAATCTATAAAGTATAACTCGATGATAACATATTGAGTTCCAAAACATTGAATATCAACCGATGCATGATAACGAGCAAGACCAGTAGAAATCAATAAAGAGAAACGGTCAAGTATAATAGTTTGAACTACAAATACAACTTTTCTTGACGTGTAGAACGATGTCACTCGAAAATAACATTCACCAAATGTTTTTGTCGAATTTCGAGTACTATACGCCAATACTTTTATTTCTCCCGTGTTAGAGACATCCCATCCGAACGAAAAACTGCTACCATTTGCCGTACACTAAGAATAAGACTAGTTATAAGTCAGATTTGAATTTTTTTTAATAGTTTTCTATAGTTAATAAAAGATAGTATCAAGAGTTCTATTAGGAGTCATTTAGATAGTAGATAGTAAACATCTATTATTTTCTACGAAAATTTCTTTTGAGGAAGGGACCTTGTGCTATGCTTGCATATTTTACTGGAAAGTTGTTAAAAAAAATAAATACATCTATTATATTGCAAATATCAATCGTAGCAGAAGTTTGAAGTCCAAAATAAATGTTCACTTTCAAGATATTGAAAGCGTTTTTACATTATAGTAACCTAAACTGCCTACAAAAAAATCTGATCATATTTTCGATCGGAACAACTAACCGTTTTCAGCATTAACTATACTTTCTGTATTAAGTCGCACAGAAAAATGTCTCGAAATATTCTGATACGTACACAGTTGTCGGTAAATGAAATATTGTTTCGAACTTACGGTTACTTCCGTTTTTGCATCTTATAGGAAATGTACATATATCTAAATATATTTACCTAACCAATCACCAAACCTAATGTCAATTCAAAACGGTGTAAAATTTGTTACAAACATTCATACAGTAATTATTTGTGTAGAAAAATGAACTACATACTTACATTTTGTTCAACATCACCATTCACAACGAGATTTTTCGTGTAGATAAGTCCCCAAGTACCATTAGGCAAAATACAATTGTATAATGTTGAATTATGTAATTGTTCATTCGATATAATTGCTCCAGTTAGATTTGTATTTGCAAAGTTAACATTACCTTCTTTCCAAAGTGCTCCAGTAAAAACAGATTCGACTAATGATGCTGCAGAAAAATCCATTGTAGCCAATTTTGAATTACTGAAATTAGCTTTAACTAGTAAAGCAAACTTAAACGACGAACGTATAATAAGTGTATTGAAAAATGTTGCTTTGTACATGATTGCATTCGAAAAATTCGCACGGTCAATGTAACAGTCTATAAATGACGAATTTGATAAGTAAACTTCGTGCAAGTAGAGACGTGGAAATGAACATTGAATTTCGATAGTTCCTTTGAAAAAAATATCATTGAAATTAGCATAGTTAACTCTTAATAAAGATGAAATTGGTTTCATATGATGATGATAAATCAATCCACTTTCGTAAAGAAACAAAAACAAATGTTGTTTCCGTTCTGCATCCAGTTGTCTGAGACTTGGTAATGTTTTTGTTCGAATATGTACTAAATTTTGTGTTTGATTTTTCATCGTTAAAAGTTCTGAAACATCATTGACATAATTGTCAAATACAGTTTCTATTCGTAAATTGTCTGCTTGACGTTCAGATTGCTGTCGAAAAAGTCGTGCATCTTCTTTGTCTTGTTCTCGCTGTTGATAGGAGAGTTTTTGTTGTAACACAGTTGTGACTACTGTAAAAACACCAATCATTAATGGAATTAAGGCAGACAAAAAAAATTTTATCCATTCACGATAATTTGATTTTGATTGAGTTTTATAACTACTGAAGTTAGTTTTTGTTATAGGACTGATTGCTACCGAATGCCTTCGAAACATTTTTGCTCTACTCTGTATTTTCCATGATGAAAATCTTTTTATTACTTGCTAAGTGTTGATTTTATATAGTCTCTGATTCTGTACGTGACTTCCATAAAAGGAATATATTTATTAAGTAAGATTGTGACTATGTCATTAAATATTGCTTCACTAGTCTAAGCGCAGAACTCGTCACGAAAGAAATCGATCAGTTAAGATGTGTATATAAAGAAAATAGGAAAATACATATTTAAATTTGCTTTGGTAATTGGGAAAGTGAGCAACTTCTCTTGAGGGTATGGGTGTGTAATCAACTATACTCCTACGCCCACCCCACACCCACACTCACACCCTGGCTGCAAAAAAGGAGACAAGTGTATAGGATTTTTTTGGAATTTTAATAGCGCCGTTTTATGAAAAACATGTAATGATGGCTACAAGAAACTCTAGATACTAATGATATAAATATGTCAAAGCTCTTATGTCGCTGAGATGAAGAAAAGATGAACACAGACATCGAATAAACCAAAAAGAACGTCAATGCAATAAGTTGCTACAGTTTTGCAGTTAGTGTTTTCCGATGTTGTCTGAAACAATACCATGATAATATCTGCATAGTTTGTCAATAATTGAATAAGAAATTTAATGAAAAAAGATCAACATTATCCAATAGAATGGACACGATCAACTCAAAAGAAATTTTTCAACAACCATTTTCAACTGTTTTTACATAGCACTTTTTAATGCTGTTCAAAGATTTGCTCAATACTCAAAGAAACAGGACGTTCTATTCTATGTGAAATTTTCTCGAACACACGGTCAGAAAGAGCTTTCAGCGTGGATTTTGGATGACTGTTTTTGATTTTTTCCGAGTATGTTTTAGTCAATGAAAAATCAGGCGACAATTTTCCACGAACATTTGCAACACCCGTTATAATTGTTGTCAGTTATATTTATTAAAGTACATATCTTATAATGATGTTGTTCTTCTTTGTTTTAAAATTGAAAATAAACATTATAATTCAATTCAGCATGATGAATTGTTTTCTCTTGATTTCTTCGAATGCGTTTGAAGGCCATGCGATAAAAATTCGAAGTTCCTGGATAAAATATACAACTCTTGAAAACAATACACTAGGTATGTTGACTTTTCGTGCATCAAAATAAAAGAGATTTTTCCATCGAATCATTATACTCGAAGCCAAAATCTAATCGGAAGATTGATAGCAAAACTGCTTTTCGAAAATCTCCTTGCAAAACTCACAAAAGTCGTCGATACATAAAAGAATCGAATTTGACTAGGTTTTCTAGTTCTCAATGTTCTTTTTTAAGTAATGGAAAACACAGATATTTATCTTATTCTTATTGAATATTATTCTGAAAATATTGGTCGGGCATATATTTTGCCGTCGACGATAATCAAGAAAACTATGTATACTGAAAAGCTTTTACTTGAAGAAGTATTAGTTCATTATTTGATAACTCGATAACTACGATTTCATTTATGTAAAGTACGCTTCGATTAGTCACAAAGTATCTATAAAACAGTTTCTTTATCTCATTTTTTACAGCTTATTTTCGAACGATTGAGTCAGTTTCATATATCTCATAACTCACACTAAAGTTCATAACATCAGACATACGATTATTCAAACGTTATAGTTAAAAAATTTGTCCTTTATTTGTCTAAAAACATTTCGTAAAGAAGTCTCGAAATTAATCATTAAAAGCAATCGTCAAACATATACGCAACTTTCATGTATATGTTATTTGATAGTTTTGTTTTGTTATTCTCTCTTAATAACAATTATGAAGGTATGGTCAATATGATTATTGAATCGCTTGACTAAATGGTATCATTTTTTGTGCTGGTATATGTATTTAAATCCGTGCTATTTAAAACAGTGACTAAATCTTCACCATCTAATTGTTCTTGTTTGCGTCGAAAATAAAGAAAACAAGCAATCAGAACAATGATCGTAATTAATATAATCATAAATAATAAACTGAAGAAAATATATAGAAGTTGCTGCTGTTTTCGTGATTTTTTCGTTGACGTAGTTGAAGTCACTAACGAACTTTCAGTTTTCATAGATAGAAGTCTTGAACTTGGTATTGGTGTTGACATTTTTCTTCTCATATTGATGACAGCCATCATAAGCGAAGAGGCAGTCGTTGTACGATAGTATGTTTCTTGAATTGATTTTGAAGGTGTATCTAATACGGTTATTGGTATTAATATTTGAGATGTGATCGTTTCAGTTATGGATAGGGTTGAGTTGCTTCTGAGGATTATGCTGCTGGATATTGATGGTTTGGGTGTAGTAATAGATACTGCATCGAGTATTATAAGTGATTTGCCTGTTGTTATAGTAGGTGTTTCAATAGCTGTTATGGTTGTCTTTGTTGATGTTGTTGCTGTTGCCGATGTTGTTGTCGAGGTTATTGTTGATGTTGTTATTGTGAATTTTGTTGTTGTCGAGATTGTTGTTGATGTTGTTGTTGTAGATTTTGTTGTTGTAGATTTTGTTGTTGTAGATTTTGTTGTTGTAGATGTTGTTGTTCTAGATGCTGTTGTTGTTATTCTCATGACTGTTGTAGATGTTGTTGTTCTAGATGCTGTTGTTGTTATTCTCGTGACTGTTGTTGTTGTCGAGATCATTGTTGATGTTGTTGTTGTAGATGTTGTTGTAGATGTTGTTGTTGTTGTCGAGGTTTTTGATGTTGTTGTTGATGTGACTTTTGTTGATATGGTTGTTGATATTGGTTTTGGTTTTGGTGATCGACCCACTATCGTTGTTGATGTTGATGTTGTTTTGGTAGACATTATTATGACTGAATTTTTTGTTGTTGCAGAGGATTTTTGTTGTTTGTCAGGAGTAGTCAGTATTTTTCTTGTCTTTGTTTGTATAGAAATAAATATCGGTGTTCTGAATTTCGTAGCCAGATTTGCTGGAGTTGTTGTTATCGTAGATAGTGCTCTCGTGGATGATACCAAAGCTGTTCTTATTGATATGGATGCTGTTGATGAGGTTTTCATTGCTATTGTTGTGATTCTGGTGCTTGTGAAAGTGTCTGCCTTGATAAAAAAAAACAAGAATACAGAATTTTTATATAAGAGCTATAATTGCTAATAAGAATAATATTATTTATTTATTTATTGAAATCTCAATCTGTTTCCGATATTCCTATGTTTAGATGGCAAGTCTACAAAGATTTAGTTTTTGTTTCAGTTCGTTATAGATAAACCATTCTTTTTATCATCAGTCAGTGTATTATCAGAGCACTACTCACTTTTTGTTTGGATTGAACGTCGGAACATTTAACTTCTATTTCTGGTTTAGAGCTGATCGTAAAACCTTCTATTGTATACTTGATGAGTCCAGAAGTAAGATGACATGCAACAAGTATATAAAGTCGTTTGAATCCTATAGAAAAAAAATCATTTTCAACTGTCAATGGTGCTTGAGTTGATAAGCGATCAAAAGATATCTCAATTTCCAATTGAGGAAAGTCTACATTTAATGTTGAATTTATATATTCATTTGTAATCTTTGTGATATTATAATTGTTTATTTTAATACCAACAATTGGTGGACGCTTCGAGTCTCCTGTATCCGAAACTAGTTCTTTGATTACATTACGATTTTTCATGAAAAATCTTTCAAAATTCGAATTATCATCAAATTCTAAGACTAAACATGGCGGCTTTTCCTGACAATCATTTGATAATATCACATCGCCATAGTGCATAATACATTTGACGCATTCAAGCCAGTAACTTTCTTCATAAATATCAACTTCTTGAAATGTGTTCCCACATTGATTCACTAGTGTACTATATTCCGTCTTAAAATGCAAACAATGATTTGTCTCTTCATCATCTATTTGCATTGTGGTGGATATCGTAATGAAAATAACAAGAGAAAATAAAATGAATAAGAACATTACGAGAAAAATAGAACGAAAATATCTAAGAAAATTATCAATTGTTTTTAAAATGATAGATTGATGGTAACTAAGATATCTATCGTTCATTTCATTTACGATAAAATGTGAATTAAACAATATCAAAGGAAATATTTCTGTTTAAGTTTTAATAAGAAATAAAGAGAGTATATTATTCTTTGATGATAATTTATCGGTCACTATCGTAAGAGATGGTCATGCATACTTCACTGTTCTCTCATCTGCAGCAGTCAAAACTCATCTGATCGAATGATCCTTTCAAGACTATCATAAAAAAACTCAAAATATGAAGATGATTTCGAGATTTCAGTAATAGTAATATTTATATGTTTGTTTAGTAAAATAATTAGATGATTTTCATTTGGTTTTATCTGTATTTATGCAAGTGGATATCTTGAAGCAATGGTTGTTCTTGTTCTTTTTTTGTCTTACGTAGGATCATCGTTCCAACTGTTGAAAACGACGGTTCAGACGATCTGAAAACAGTATCAAGCGACTCATTTTGTGATTTAAATAATGAAACAGAAGGACACTTTTTGCAGGTTTGTAGATCATAATTCATCATTCCAAAATCTGGGACGTATTTCACAGGACCATTAACGCCACCGTTTCGACTCTCTTTATTAATGCGATTTGTAGTATTATAACAGTATTTTCATCCTTTATTCTTTTATGTAAGTCATATTTGGCTGCATGCAGATTACTTTAATCACTGTCATTGCAACATGAGCAACACTGCTTATAGTTTCGTCTGTTATCAGATGCAACTAATACAAGAATCCAGCACACTTTGTGTTGTTTTTTTTATGCACTATCAAATAGAGCTTCGTGAGATGATCACGAATACATGTGTCAATTGTGCTCGCATTGTACCGTTACATTACAAAAACATTTAGAACTCAATTTATACTCATTGAGTTTGAAACGTAAGTAAAGTTAGCACCAGGTTCGAGTATTTCTTGTCTCGATTCGCTTTCTTACCTGTGCTAACTCTGTCAGCACTTGTGTTAGGTGCAAAATTGTATGTTCTATCCAATGATACTAGTTTCAAGGGGAGTTATCGCGCAAAAACCACCACTTTTCTCCAGAAATACTCTGTTTTTCCATGTATAACAACAACAAATATCCTGTATTTCTTGTCCGGATTCGTTACACGACTTGTGTTAACTTTCTAATTTAGTGTGTTAGATGTAGAATTTCATTCTCTATGCGCTGGTACTATTTCTAAGTGCTGTTATCAGCCAAAATCTGGGGGAGGATGAGTGTGGAGTGTGGGTGTGGATGAGTGGTGGGTGTGCGTGTGTGAATGTGGATGTGGGTGTGAGTGGAAAGAAGAATGATAGCTACACCCACACCCACTCAATATTTACTAATTTTCACGTACATAGTGATCAACCAGATTCGTGTGGCCTACTGTGAACGTTTTCGATAATTTCAACTTATTAACTGAATTTTCAAGGTTGTGGAGCTTTAGTACTAGTTGTCGATTCGTATGTATGAATTATTTATGATTTTTGAGAATTATTGCCACTCATTTGCAATAACGGTTCCACAGATTTTTCTTTTCTTTTGTGTATTACATTTTGCATCGTTCAGCTCTATAATGAAGGGAATTGATTCAATAAAAAGACTTGTTTTTATTAATACAATGCAATCGTTTTATGATTATGAACTTTTTTCTTTAAATAAAAATAGAAATTCTTATATTTACGATATTCATTTTACAAAAATAAATCGGGAAAGGAGTCTTTTCATAAACTATTTGTATTAAATAAAAAGATTTTAGATTTCTATTGCAAGTCGTAACAGCTAATCAAATTTTAACCAAGAGTTTGATGTTGATCAACTATTGCGAACAGCAAATGATTCTTTGATATATTCACCAGATCATCGATATTGCTTCTCACTATCACTGATTTTGATCAAATCATTTTATTTTAATATTATTATCATCATGTTTTAACTTTGGCGAAATAATGACCTGAACATGTTATGAAACAAATAATAAATATTTACCTGAAAATGATTTCTCGACACAAGCAAATATAAGAATGAAAGTGAGATAAGAAACATGCCTATGCTCCTCATTACCTTCATAAAAAAATTTATTCAAATAGTGATATACTGCACACAGATAAGACTTGACTAGTAGACTTTCTGCAGTGAAAATCAGAAGAACGTTAAAAAAAAATTTAAAAAAGACAGTTATTTTATCTGTAATATACGTCATGTAAAAAGTGCGTTCACACGAAATTGCGTACTTCAGAGAAGTTGTCTGATTTTTTTAGTTGCATTTATAAAGAGAAAGAAAAAGGTTATATATCTAATGCCTAAATAAACTTTTATCTTTGATAAGAAATTTATTGTTTTTTTTTTTTTGTATAGAGGAAAGAAGCAACATTCACTTACCGTTGCAGTTGTCTAACGAATTCTACATTAGTGAAGTAGTGCATCCAAAATGGTAACAAAAGGTAAATATTTAAGGTTGAGTAAGAAACTCTCAAAAAGGAAATGTACTCATTAAAAACTTGTTAACTATCGATCTCTGCTTCTTTTGCAAGATCTACTTTCCTGTAGATGTTCTTGTTAACTTCATTACTAATTACTTTTTCCATCGAATTATGTAATGCTAACTTAGTAAGCCAAGAAGATGTAAGGGAAAACGATTCACTTGGCAACTGAATTATAATTCTATAATAGGTTTTCCTCGTTTTGAAGATCATTGAAGAGAAGATAATCTAATTTTCCAACATATCGATAATAAAGTTATTTTGAGAGTATGAGTGGGTGTTCGCATTCTCTTTTTCTGCATTCAGATGCACAGCTACAGTTTGATTTTTGTAAAGAAGCCAGACATTATGTTAACATGTTGTTTTTCAATATTTAAAAAACACGATAAAGTGATTCCATAATGGCAAAAAATCCATCAAAATAAGAGGTTGATTGCTTGAATATTGGAGTATCTAGAACTACGGCAATATCTTCATATCCACTATAGTGCCAATATCTCTCTAGCAAGCGATATATTTCTGAGAATAATGGGCAAGTGTAAAGAAGCATTTTTTTAAGTTCGAAGTCAATGTGTCTAACAATCATTGAACTATGTGTTACACGATCACAATAGTTCGATACATTTCAATCACACTTTCAGCATGTATAACCAGAATATAGGGCTACAAAATTAGGGGGAGTCTCGATTCATAAAATCTTTTTCTTCCTCAGTCATGAAGTTCACATTGGTGACAGACCAAATGAATTATTACTCTGTTACACTTCATGCTATTGCGGCGCGAATTTTGATGATGATCTACATTCATCGAGAACTATGTACATAAAACTTGAATGCAATTATGAAATACTTGAAACTTGAAAAGTGGACTTGCAAGTATTCAGATATTCGAATTTTCAAGAATTCAGTTACACTATTCATACAAAATGCTTAATTCGATTTTGAATATACATAAAATTCTTACAGCTCGATATCACTCCGAACATTCATTACTTTGCAGAAGTGTTTTTGCCTGTGTAGCCAACCTTTTATGTTAGTCTAGCGTCTTCAGAGGAGCTTCAACCAATCTTCATTTCTATGTGTACAGTGGATTAAGTGTCGGTCATCTCTGTAACCTCACCTGCATTCAAACCCAGATTAAATCTTTGACCATTATGCTCGTTCTAACGCGAGTGCTTCTATCACAATTATAATTATAATTGTCAAAATGTATAGGCTTAGGTTTTGACTATGCAGATGCCGATGAAATTTCGAATTTTCTTTTTTCAAGTCGAATTAGATAGCTACGCACTGTTTCAATATTCAACTTGTCTCACAGTGCGGAAACAGGGAAATATCAAAGCCATCTCAATGTGAGTGTTACAGAAATACACACAAATATACTATAAAAGTTGAAAATTTGAATACTTAAATTAAAGAATTCAACTATAAAGCCGGGTCCTATTGAGTAATTCTATTAAAATAGGTATAACAAGTGTAGATTTACAGCATCACGATTCATCGTTTATGTATATACAATTACTGAAAGAGGTACTTCTTCAAATGGAAGGTGATGATAAAGCAAAGAAAGAATTATTTCAATTTTGTCGTAAAACGAACATAGGCATATTAGGAAGAATGAAAATCATCGATGAATTTGAAAGATATTATGATATGCATACACCGATGTGGTGGTACACCAGAGATTGTTTTATTCATGACATGATTAATCGAGTATTACGATTACAAGATATTGATGCCATTATTCAAACGAGATTCTTTATACAAGACCTTCATCAACAAATCGAACGATTGTACGAACCGCCATCTAAAAAACTGACTCTTTATCGAGGTCAAGGACTATCGTACGGAGACTTTCAGCAGCTGTGCTAATTGAAAGGAGGTCTTTATTCGTTTCATTATTTTATATCGGCAACTATGGATCGAGATATAGCTCTTACGTTTGCTCAAAGCGCTCGACAGGATTCTCGCTTGATTGGTATTATCTATCATATAAATATTGATCCTGTCTATCTCAAATCTGCTTTATTCGCTTCATTGGATAATGAGAGTTATTACAAAGTGGAAAATGAGTTTTTATTTACTATGTATACGATATTTCGAATCGGAGAAATAATACAACTTGGATCGGAATTGTGGCAAGTGGAACTCTCACTAGCAAGTGATAAAGATGAGGAATTAAAGAAACTTGCTGAAAATATTCGACAAGCAACACAAGGATCAACAGGATGGAGTCGGCTTGGTAAAATGTTGTTGACAATGGGAAAGTTCGAAAAAGCTGAGAAAGTTCTCCAAATACTTATCAACAAATCATCCGAACATGATTTAGAACGGCTTGCTGATCTTTATCATCTAATGGGTTCAGTTAAAGAACATAAAAAGGAATACGACCAAGCAATGATGTTATATGAAAAGGTACTAAACATCTATCGATCATCACCTGACTTGAATCATTTACATTTAGCTAAACTTTACAATGACATTGGTTCAGTATATCTATTTAAAAAAGAATATTCAAAAGCACTAGAATATTATGAAATGGCACTGAACATACAAGAAAAATCTGATCTTTTAAACGATTCAGATTTAGTAATTACATATGGCAAATTGGCAGAAATTTATAAACACTTGCGTGATTATCCTCAATCTTTACGATTCTACCAAAAGGAGTTAAATATTTATAAAAAATCTACTCCTTTCAATTATTTAAAATTGGCTACTAGCTACGAACATATCGCTGAGATTCATTACAATATGAAAGAATATTCCGAAGCATTAAAATTATTTCGAAAGGTGTCTAAAATTCGAGAAAATCATTTACTTCAAAATAATACAAAAATAGTTATTAGCCATAAAAATCTTGGCAAAGTACTTGGCAAATTGGGATCTTATCTAGAAGCAATCGAACACTATCAATATGCACGTCATATCTTGGCAAAATCTGCTCCGGTGAACTTTTTAGAATTGGCTATGATTTGTTATAAAATGGCTGAGATCTATAAGAAAATAGGAAACAAGCTAAAAACACTCGAAATATATCAAGAGACGTTAATAAACTTAGATAGATCTTCACATCGAAAAGAAAAGATTTCAGCGACTATACACGACAATATTGGTCAAGTTTATGAAAGTTTAGGTGAATACGAAAAAGCAGTAATCTCTTATAGACAAGCCATCCAGATTGAACAACTATTATCGCCTCAAAATGATATTCAACTTCAATTATATAAAAAACATCTTTCTCAAGTTCGAAAAACAATTAAATAAACATTATATGTAAAAGATGAATATCATGTTAGAAAGCATTTCATTATGTTGCATTGAATATTACTTTTTCGTTTTCCAATGACGAGGGTGTGGATGTCGGTGTAGATATGGCTTTATATGGAAATAATCGTCGAATCCAGACTCATAAAAACGCTCAACACACACACACACTCTCTGTTCACTGTTGCTCTTTGAACTTTTTTTTTATCAAGCTAGAATTATGAGGTTATGTTGTTATCTAAAAGAGGTCTGAATGAATGTTTAAAGCAAGCAATTTTAACAATAAAAAAATTCACATTTTAACGGTTTATGTCAGAGTTTCGTCCTCAACATTTGGCAGGAAAGAAAAAGATCCCTTTCAGATAACATTATCGAAAGCTTTACGACACACAGTTAAATTGTGCCTTTTTTTAATAGCTGGCTGTCAATACTATTATAGTTTAAACACCGGAAACATCTATTCATTCTCGTTTACTTTTAAAACATTTCGAAATTAATTGTTAATGGACACGAGGAAGGATCAATGTTCTTTTTCTCTTTACCTCTATTATTCATAAGAGAACTTCATTAACCATTGAAATTGTTCTTAAACTACAGAAAGTGCAATTCTTCAGCGACTCTCTCGATTTTAAAACTCTAATGATTATGTACGGATATTTATTAACGTAATTCTCTAATAGTTACTGCTGTCATTTCAATTATGCAGGAGGCGGTGCTTGTTTCCGCATCGTCCAACTACTGGATCTGCCAACGCATAGTGATCAATCATAGTGGTGTGACTTACAGTCAACATTTTCGAAACCTTAAGTTTATTAATTGAATTTCTAAGGATGTGGAACTTTACAATTAGATGTTAAATTCGTATGTATGAATGATTGGTTGTTTTCAGAATTATTACCAGTCATTTGCAAAAACGGTTCCACAGATGTTTCTTTTCTTTTTTTTGTTACCAGTTTTGTGTCGTTTAATTGAATGATGAAGAAAATTGATTCGATAACAAGACTTGTTTTTATTAATATAATGAATATTTTTATGATTAGAAACCTTTCGAAATAACCATATAACGAGACTGAAGCTTTTAGTCTTGATCCAGTGCTGCCTTAATTTTGACCTAAATTCGAGTTATTCAATCGAGATGAATGAGGCGTTAACTTACTTTTAATCAATTGAGACAAAAAAAAAATCGGAACAGAGACAAAAATATCCTGAGATCAGGACCCAGACTATCGATTTCATTAAATGCTTTTTTAACAAATTATTCATATCAAATAAAGAGATTTAAGATTGCAAGTCGTAAAAGTTAATGGAATTTTAACCAGCAATTTGATATTGAGGGTGTAGGTGTGGGTAGCACGTTGAATGGGAGATCTACGTCCACAGCCACCCATCCACATCACACCCCATAATTATCCGCTTCCTTGTGTCAAGATTAGAATTAATCTTGTTTCACAATATTTCTACAATTACTTCGGTTCTTTTTCTCTCATTATTTACTTGAGAGAAATTATCTCAAGATCGTTATAATGTATTTATATCTCATATCATTTTTTTCTCTCTCTAAAACTCAAAAAATAGTGGATCTATGATGGTTTTTTTTAGAAAAAGTAGATAAATTACAACTTTTAATTGCACTTCTTTGCAAGTTTATTCAAATTGAGAAATTTCAAATTTTCGTTGTATTATGATTCAAATTCTTATTTTAGTCAATAGTAATGTTTTTTGTACAAAAACATAATTAAATTCGAAAGTATTCCAATAAAAATTTCCTAATGATTATATAATATCAAGATCTATTTTGTTTTATGAATTACGACTTGATTTATATAACCATAAAAGGATGACGATTAGCTTGTCGAGTGTTCCTCTAACAAATACATATGTCAATGTCAATGTAAAACAAAAGTTAGAAAGCAAACATTATTTCTAAACAATTTCAAATTTTTGTTACTTTTTATTTTTGTTAAGGCCGCCCCCTCAAAAAAGACTGGTTGAAAATAGTAGCACAAAGAAAATGTTTGTTAGTAGTTGTTTTTTTTTTTTTTATTTCAACATTATCAACGTTTTTGCTGTTATCTCTTACTCTTCTTTTTGTTAACAGAAGATGGAATAAAAATCATGTAAAACTTGTGTTTGAATGTTAACAGAAAAAAAAACATTTCATGCAATAGAAAGTGTATATTAAAAAAAGAAGCTGAAACGATACAAATAAATATACGGACTCATCTTTCATTTGAAACAATATTCATTTATTCGCCATTGCAGATCTGTAGTACATAGTAATTATAAAAACATGGCTGAAAATAACTTAAAACAAATACCCATTTTGTCTAAAGTTGCAAGCACTCAACATAGACGATTAAAAGTCCAGAACTATTGTCTAATCTGGTTAGATTCCAATATTGATGAATACAGTAATGATTATCAAAATACTTTGGAAAAGCTTCGAATCATTGTCAGTGATATTAATATCTTCACTGATGTTGATCAATGCGTCGATTTTCTTACTGATATCGATGACGATAAAGTATTCATGATTGCTTCAGAAATATTCATTGAATATATGGTGCCGAGTATCCATGAAATACTTTCATTGGATGCTATCTATATCTTTGGTGACAAAAAAGCCATAGATGAAGAATGGGTCAAACAATGGCCAAAAATCAAGAGTGTACACACACAAATTACATCTGTCTGTGAAGCTTTACAGCAATCTGCAAATCAATGTGATCAACATTTATTTCTAATCAGCTTTATTCCGACTACTCATGGAACGATCAATCAGAACTTAGATCAATTGGAACCGTCATTCATGTATACACAAATCTTTAAAGAGATTTTACTCGAAATGAATTATGACCAGCACACTCACTGACACCTACTGACATCCACACCCCCACTCCACACCCACTGACACCAAGACCCACACCCTACACCCACTGACACCCACACCCACACCCACACGCCACACCCACTGACACCCACACCTACACCCACTGACACCCACACCCCACACCCACACCACACACCTCCCAGCCACAGCCACACCCTACACGCTAGGGGTGTCATTTACCATTTAATTTATAATAAATATAAATTTTTCGTAATTTAATTTACGCGTAAATTAAATTTAAAGTAAATGTAAATTGACGCCTCTACTAGGGTGTGGGTGTGGGTGTGGGTGTATTTATTCTGGAACAGCCACACCCACACCCACACCCTTCAGAGTATAATTTTGATATTCAGACAGTCTAGGATGATTGATTTGTATGATTCACTTTTTGAAGTACATATAACTCTCGGATTTAAATCCGAAGTTTCCGCATTTTTTTAATCATTCTATTTGTATATACCTGTTCAGAAAGTGTAATAGACGCTCTTGGACGTACTATTGGAAAAAGTCCTGTACTTTCAACAACATCTTACGTCTGTTCATTTCATCATTTTTCAAATGATCATTTAAAAACAGCTCATAGCGTGGTGGGTAGCTTCTATGCACGCATTGTTACACCGTTGTTATTAAATTTTTTATCAGTTGTCCTGATATTAGCACATATTATTCGTCGTAAAATCATTTTAACTAACTTAGAAAGAAGCTCATGGCATTCACTAATAATTCAACAAATTTTGAAGCACAAAGATTTCTTTATATCACCACTAGTTATTATTATTTGTACGCTTCCAGAAAAATTACTGTTAAGAATTGCCGAAACAGATTATATAGAGAAAAGTATGCAAAAATTTTATCTGCGTTTACATATTGCTCTGGACTTTCTATTATATATGCCTTTAGTCTTGACATTCTTTATCTATATTTATCCTTCAAGTGTGTATATGATTCTATTTCGTGAAAAAGAAATTGTTAAATGGATTAAGCGAAAAATTTCGAGTATTTGCCGTCGTGCATCCTTAAATGTCGTACAAGGAGTAACTGAGAAGCAAATTATCGAAGAAATAGATGTATAAATGAGTATAGTATCTACTTTCCTGTAAAGATAAATAGATATCTCTGCTTACGTCTTTGAATTAAAGTCATTTATAGGTTTTGTGTCTAAATAAATCTTACTCTTACTCAAGACAAAATACTCTTTTTTAAAAAAAGTTTTTTTTCTTTTAATAGTGTAGTAAAAATTTTCAATACTTTAAATGTGTTAAACTTTATCTGAGTTTCTGTATCGTTCTACTGTGCTGCGTAGATTTTGATCCAAGGGATATTCGGTCCGAACTTAGGTTTATCTCAAACTAGATACCTCACAATGAAAATCTCAGTTTGATGTATTGAGTCTACGGAGAGTTAGGATAAGATTATGGGTCACAAGCAAGGTATTTGTGCGTCTAAAATTTTACATGATTTCAAATACCAGAAAGTTCGGGTTCCTTTTAAAATCTACGCTGGATGTGGTGTTCCAACTTATCGAAACCTAGTTTTTCTATTTTCTTGTAGTTCGTGTTTGAGACAAATTCTCAGATGAAATATAAAAAATCCAAGGAGCATATGTCAAAAATATTTAGTTTTTAATAAACATCAATGGGCAATTTGAAAATCCGACTCTGGTAAGTTGTAGAGATAAGTTTTGCCTTAATTTTTGCACCAAGCCCAACTTTCTACCTCCTTAAGTCTCATCATAAAATCAATAAGCAATAGCCCATTCGGAAGTAGACACTTTGCACTATCTAACAAGCTATAAATCACAAAATCGATAAACTTGACTAAAATGGCTTTTTTCTGAGGGATCACTTAAGCAGACCTCATTGACCTAAAAAAGAAGTCTAATTTCTTTAATTAGTTGCTAGATATGGTAGTGCTGAGCAGCATAAAATAATGATCCGGAAAATGGTGTAGCGCTCACCAAGACGTAATAAGGTAGCAGTGAGTGACAGTCAAAGAGACCACACCCACACTCTCATTATAACATTGATACACCACGAAAATAACGAGACAACTTAAATCACCAATTCATCGTATTTTATTATAAGTTTGCACATCTATCATGGGTAACTAT